TAGTGGCCCGCCCTCACTTTGCTTCGGTGTAGAGTTGTACTATAGACTATAATTTTTGTTCAAAGGCTTGTATTATACACAATGACCTTCTTCATAATAATTATAACCTACCTTCCATTCCAAGTAAAAAATTCGTTGCGTAGTTTAGGACCGTTGTACCGAATGCCACATTGCTCTGCTGTTCCGATTTAAAAAAATCTTTTGTATTGGACAGTGCATTTATCGAGGAAGGCTATAGGCTATATTACCACGCTACAACCAGTAGCAGCGGAGCATTGATGAAAAATGTTGCAAAAACGTTTAAAAATATTCCATTTATGAGATCCGTTGCATGCGCTGGGTAAAGGGCTAAAGTTACACAAAAATCATGTATGACGGAATTCTTTCCCTTTAAAAGTTCTGTAAAAAAGCCCACGACAGCCTATGTCTATATTTTAAGTTTGACTCACTATTAACCTTTTTCTTCAAATAAACGCGGGTGAAACCGCAGGGGACCTCTAGTTGTGACAACTGTAATAGTTAGACATTTGGTATCGCGGACTTTTTTGTAGATATTGGTATCCTCTATAAAACTTTAGTACATCACTTTGCTCTATTGTCAATGACTTCCGAAGCGTACGCAATAAGGCTATTTTTTGGTATATTTTACACACGTTGGGTTACCTTATCAAAGTTTTCATACGGAACCCTAACTTTTTTGAAAATACACTATAGCCTATATTATTGAGTGATAATGCAGCATTCAAATGGTAAAAGATTTTTTAAAATCGGTTCAGTACTTTTTGAGCCAATTCGTTCCAAACATACATACAAACCTTTCCTCTTTATAATATTAGTATAGATTAATGACTTACCTTACCATGTTAGCGATAACCATGAGATAGTATTGTTCGCGGATGATACATCACTTAAATTTAAACTCAAACTCAAGGAAACAAGTGTATCTCTAAGGTAGTCCACTGGTTCAATGTTGATAATTTATTCCTTAATGAAGGAAAAACGAAATGTAGGTATGAAATTTGTATTACCTAATGTAAAACAGGTAAAAACCAGTATGAATGTTAAGGATAGGAATGTGGGCCTTGACCTTGTAGACACCACAGTATTCTTAGGGATTACTTTAGATTCTTAGCTTCAATGGGGGGCCCTCATATTGATAAATTGTCAAATAGACTTAGCTCTGCAGCATATGCCGTAATGAAGATACGCCAGTTAACGGATGTAGATACGGATTAGTGCTCTTTAGTTATTTCCATAGTGTAATGTCGTACGAAATTTAATAGTGGGGAAACGCCGCCGTCATTCAAACTATTTTTGTGCTGCAGAAGAGAGCTATTAGATTAATTTATAATCTTAAAGTTAAAGAATCCTTATGAGATAATAAAGAATTTGGCATATGACGGTCGCATCACAGTACATAAGTATACGATAATTTATTACTTATAAAAAAAATATTAATTTGTTTCTTAAAAATAGTGAAGAGTTTACACACCTAATACATGAAACAAAAATAATATAACCTAACTGTACCTGCTACTAGGCTACACAAAATCAATTATTCATTTAAAGGCTTCGCTTATACAATAAAGTCCCAAGCAATATCCAAGTGTTAACCATAAATAAATTCAAAGATAGTATAAAAAAGCAGTTATTAAAAAAGCTTATTACAAAGTGTATAATTATATTACTGACATAATGCTTGCGTTTGAACTGTTCCAATAATTCCAACAGGTTTTCTATATTAAATAAATCATGATTGTATTGACGTTGCGACAACATAATGATTTGCAAATTTTGTTACATTAACGTTTTAATGTTGTGGAGTTTTTTTCGCTCGTTTTTCTCCGCAGCTAAAAAATATGTTCAATAACGAGAGGTAGGGAAATTTTTTTTTGGACGATTCAAAAGAGTTGTAATTTACATCAAATATGAATAAAGATATATTGATAGATTGACACCTTAATTAGAGCCATTTATTATGGTCGGAGAAGTACTTCCACAGAAGTGTTTTAGTGAGGAAGAGCAGGACAGGATTTAGAGGTATTTAAAAATCAGAAAACCCGGCCCACTTACTATTAGCTCTCCCCTGGTTGGTGTTGGTGACCTATCAAAATGTAGTTATTTTTTATCTCTATTGTGGGGGGCCCTGAGCCACAGCCCTGTCTTAAATCCGGCCCCGAGTAAGAGTCTGACATCACAGCCCAACAAAACAGACGGCTGTATAGTATCCATAAGGATTTCCACTCCCCCGAACACTCTAAATGGATATGAAGCGCCTTCAATAGAACTTTTACATAATTCTTTACGTACTCTAGTAACGTAAATAACGTATTTTGGTGACCACGGATCCCAAAAGTGAATTATGAAGACTAGTGAGGCTAGGAAACTAGAAATAGTACTACAGAGCTTAGTGAAGTTATATTTACCTTAGACATTAATTACATTATCGACAGCCCGCTTGAACTAGCGGTTACTGATTCCGACTGCAAATTCAGCGGCCTCGAGTTCAAATCCCGGATAAGCAAAATGTTTGTGTGATGCACGCGTTTATTTCCCTATAACAATGGTACCGTATATTGTATCTAAGTCATTGATATATAATAAATATTTCCAACACACACACCAATTAGCCTAGCCCCAAAGTAAGCACTATAAAGCTTGTGTTATGGGATACTAGAGTAACGGATAGAATACATATACTGTACATATATTTATATAGAAATACATATTAAACATCCATGACTGGAGTACAAATGCACGTATTCATCACACCAACATCTGCCCCCACCGGGATTCGAACCCGGGACCTCTCGAGTCGGCGACACCATGAAACCCGGCGTACAAACCACTCGGCCACGGAGGTCGTCAAACATATAAAAACAAATACTTACAATCGCACCCGAATAGTGTCGGAACTAAAATTACACACATCTATTGTGCGTATTATTAAAATAGTCGTGTTTCGACCGCGCTTTGATTACAACGTCAGTGTCAACGTCACACAATGACAGTGTTCGGTTAAAAACTGTGCAAATAACACCAGGGCCTAACGTGATTGCTATGGCTATCACTATCGCTTACAATTATTTTTTTATTCCTGACGCTCATTTTCTTTAATATTGTTATTACCAATGCAAAAGAAAAGAGCGCGAGGCATTTGGAAACCTTCGGCGGTCAGAAATAACATAATGAATTCGTAAGCGATAGCGATAGTCATAACAATCTTGTTTGGTGATTGGCCCCCAGATGGCCGAAATTCGCCAACTTTTTTGAAATTTACAGTTAGTAACTAAAGAGTAAATTGTATATTCATCGCTGCTTTTCAGAACAAGTATCTTAGTGGCCTTAAAATAAAGCAGTAGTGGATCACTAAATACAGTGCGACGAGGATCTTTATAAATGTGAGTGAATGTGCAGGGAGGGCGCCACTGTCCACGTAAGTGACCGTAAATGACATTCAAAATTGACGTTTACAAATACGGCGGCGTTAGTTCCAATTTTCGTCACATTCATAAAGATCCTTGTCACAGTACAACTCGGTGATTGTCACTTCCATCTGTCAAAAGCAGTTAGCGAATAAGACTACAGACCCACACTTAAAAAACATGGAGTATCATATTTCAGTTGAGTCTCTTAAAACTACAAAATTGTGCAACTATCTGGGCGTTTTCTTACCAACGATATCAAATATCCTAGACACACCAATACGAACAAAATCGTGCCCGAAACCTGTCCAAAAGGTACATTAGACGATCCACGGAGCTTCGTAATAAAGATGATCGACTAGTCAAAAACAATATAAGGCATTATTTAAACATTGGAAGTCACCTTTAATACATACTATATAAGGTCTTAATTAAAACGCATGCATGCATTAAAGAGTTTAAGACAGTTCGAAATGCAAGCTCGCAAAATTTTACGACTTATTGCTATATGCGTAAGAATATAGACCTTATATCTTTGACTACGCGCAATTCTGAACTTATTCTGGTGGACTGTGAGGAAAAGAGACAGCTATATTACCGACCATTTGGATATCACATATTACAATATTTTCTATTAAATCAGTTAATAGTATGTATTAGAACAAAATTTGCTTCAGATGCGTTAAATTAACAATCATTTATTAGATACCAGTCGAACAGCGACACTTTACGTACTATAGTATTTTTATCGCATTTTTTTACGGAGCTCTGCGGTAACTTGACTTTTCAACGGTCCGCGCGTGACTGTGAACCAAGAAGTACATGAGTGGTCTTCAAGCACTTCTTGATTGGGACACATTTTGAGCGCACGTGGTGTATCTAGGGTATTTAATATCGTTGTTTCTAACATATTACTAAATATTTTTTTATAGCTACAACAAGATATCTCTCCGCGTGTGCTCCCTGTGCATCACGTGGTCGTGTATGTCTCTCTCGAACCGTAATCAAAGTCTCTTTCTCCCTCGTATACAGTTGACATTAAATCCTATGATATGATATATACAATAAACCCTACTATCACGATATAACGTGTTCAGCTGAACAATGTTATATGTGTAAGTTGATATTTTTGTATAACAAAGCGCCGCTCGGACAGTTTTTGATGCACTTTTGCTATACTATTGGAAGTCTATACGTCAATGATCTAGGTCTGTAAATAGTGTTATCTAGCACCCATAGCACAAGTTTTGTTTAATTTGGGGCTATATGATTATTGTGAAAGTGTTCAACATCCACTAATTACATACTAATATTATAAATGCGCAAGTGTGCCTGTTACATCTTCACGTTTTAACGGCTGAACTGATTTGAATGAAATTTGGTGTAGGGATAATTTGGGTCTCGGAAAATATACGATAGTTTTTATCCTAGAAATCATCCTTACAGGAGGTGGTAGTTAGTAAGGGAAAGCAACATTTTTACGCACACAAAATCGCGAGCATCCACTAGTTATTTATATAGAGCGAAACTCCCGCGCCTGTGTCAATAGCGCACAAAAAAATTAAAAGAATTGTTTGAATGTAAATCAATGTTTTATTTTCTTTTTAGAAATACTAACAGCTGGTTCTGTCTCGTATTCAATCTCCACACGCGGCTTCTTCTTGCTTCCTAACTTCTTAGCAACATCCTGCAAAGTATAAAAATATATTATTAGATTTCTTCAATAATATCCATAAAACTGAACCTAAATAACAACATAAAATTTTGAGAAGGAATAATTCAACCCCGTCCATGTTTCAGAATGAAGTTTAATGAAATGAATCACACTATATTATAATATAAATATATAATTATAAGGGCCTGCGCAGCATTAAGCGGGAGCACGGAGCGGACGTCCACTGTGCTCCCGTTTAACGCAGCGCACGCCCTAAATGTAGATACAGTTATTTCCCTTTATTCCTTTAGATCGCGCTCATATACGCCAATCGACGCATTATAGAAAGGTCCCGTTAAGTTGAGAGATAACTAGCACCCGTGAGTGCGTAGTACCTACGCAGGTAACGCGCATAACTTGTAAACAAGTGATCAGATATCGTTGCACTTTCTCCCTTACGCCAAACTGCATAAGGCTCAGATTAGAATGAGCGACCCGCGGGTATTCTGGTAAAATCTGTCTCCAGTATTTTCGTGGTTTTGTTTAGAGAGCGTTTGTGACAATATATAGAGTATACTACCTACCAAAAGGATTTTTAGCGTAAGGTAATAATATATTCAAGCATAAGTACTTACATCAATATCTATAAAATCGGCAACAACGTTCCACTTAAGGACTAAGTGCGGAAACCATAACCTTAAACGTAAAACATTGACTTACTTCAATATCAGATGTCTCCGATTCAAAATCACTACCAACATCAGCACCTTCTCTTCTTCCAGAGTCACTTTCCTGTATTAAATAGAAGATTATCTGTTTAATTGCTGTTATATTTAAATTTTCATTATAAGACATTTTTATTGAAAATATTTTTTTGATAAAAATTCTCTTTTTATTTTCTTTTTTTTTCTTTTTATTTTTTATAAATAACATATGAATATTTTTAAAAACTTGTCAAATAGCATATTAAGTAAAACAATTATTTTTAATAGTGGTGTGTGTCGTGTTTTGTTACAGGGACGTTATATCAACATAGGAAGTGGCAATAACTTTAACAAAGTATTTTTAACCACTTGTTTCAAAATTAAGTTTATTAAGATTCCCTTTCGTGTAGTGACTATCCACGTGAAATTGGCAGAATTGTGGGTAAATCCGTTATCCGTTAAGCCATTAAAAAGAAGAAGAAGAAGAATAGTGGTGTTATTAATCATGGAAACTACAATAAATCATATAATTAAGCTTTAAGGGTCATTTTATGAAGACAGCAGCAGGTACAATCACACAATCAAATCAAAATTGATGTAGTGGAGGTGTAGCTATGAGAGTAATATTGTTTTTGTTTCAGTCTTATGAGTAAAATTAGACTGTCATCTCAGAATGTGAGGTAACGTGAGTATTCTGTTTTTATCTAATGTTACACATTACAGATTATTTTGTGTGCCAGAGGATATGACTGCAAAAATTCGGAATTTGAGGTAACAGACTGAATTTTATACCTTCTGACACTCAAAATAACATGTCAAATGTCACAATGGGCGGTGTATTAAAACAACTGAAATATAAAAAAAAACTTTTTCTGAAAAGCATGCTTTCTATTGCTCTGTTAATTTTCAGCCTGTTACCTCACATTACGATTTTTTGCAGTCTTACCCTCTGGCACACAAAATAACGTGTCAATAGTCACAATGGGCAGAGTGTAAGACAGCTGAGATATAAAAAAAATCTTTTTCTCAAAAAGCATGCTTTCTATTGCTCTGCAAAATTTCAGCCTGTTACCTCACATTCTGGGGTTGATCGCATTTTTTTGGTAATTTGACTTGACTTGTAGATGAAATAGTGTGTTTCTTAGTATTTTACCTCATCTGAATCCATATCACTGTCTGCTTCAACAAATTCATCCGTTTCTTCTACTGCTTTCTCTAATTCTTGTTCCAGTTCAGGCTCTATCTCCATCTCTTTCTCCTCTTCATCTTCTTTCTCACTTTCACTTTCTCCAGAGATTTCTTCTGCTTTTAGGGCAGCATCAAATGCCATTTGTGGAAAGTTATAAATATCATTGTACTGGAATAGTAAAAAAAAAACATTCAAAATTTACACATAACTTACATCAAGTTTGATTTTAAATAGAACTTGCGAAAAAAAACAGTACTTCCATCATAGAACTAACGAGATAATGGAATTCACCAGATAGTAAAAAAAAATATATTAAAATATTTATGAAGTTTGGTACTCACAGTGCCCTTTTTAAGTCTTTCCAGCAATTGTTTTTCAATGGCATTATCAATTCTGGCTGCAACAAGTGCCTTTTCTTCCCTTCTTCTTTCACGCCTCTCAATCTTTCTTTGTATAGGCACCAATTCTTTCCTGATAAGATTTTACATTTTTACATTTTGTAAGAATTATAAATAAAGCCAAAATTAATTATAAAATTACATGCATATTGCTTAGTTTATACAAATATGCATACAATGATCAATTTATAGGATAATTTCACCCACAAAAAATTATTAGATAGAAAAAAAGAGAATACTTCAGTATATAATTATAAGGGCTTTTTTGTTTGCAAAAAAAATTGCTACATAGAATTAAAACTACTAAAAATTAAGAAATAATACATTTTCTTCACATAAATCTAAAGTACAGTGGATTTCACTTATTACGACCTTGGTTGTAGTGACCATTTACCTATAGCGACATTAAATCTAAGTCCCTTGAATTTAAAGCATGTTTTGGTATAAAATTTGTTTGGCTATAGCAACTTTGGATGTAACGCGGAGTTCGGGTATAGCAACTGTTTTTAATCACTTATTTGTAACAAATTCCTAAAAATCCCAAGCAGATATTGCAACCGGCGTCGGCCACCAAAGACACAAAAATTTCTTTCTTTCACAAACATTTCTATTCGATTTTTTACATCCACACAGGTGGCCAATAAGTGTGGAGACCTTTTACCTTTTGTTTATAGATATCAGCTAAGTAGGTAGACGGACGTTTCGGAGTTAAATTTATGGTTAAGTTACAGTGATATTCTGAGAAGCAACTGAGTTTAATAAACTTTTGAATGAGTATGGCTGCTAGACGCACATCCACTGTTAAAGCAAAAAAAAATAAACTAACAAAAATTGATGTACATTATACTTACACTCTTCTTAGTTTTAATTTTCTCATACGAATTAGATATTGTGTAATTTTTACAAATCTCTGCTTGCATTTTGCCTTTATGAATGCTGGCCAGTATAAAAGATTTTCGTTTATCTGATATATAGCTTTTTCAAAATTTCTGGATAATTTCACCTTTTCCCATTGTTTTGCAGGAAACATAACCCTAAAATTTTACAGTCGCTATAAGAATCTAAACATTCAGTAGATATTTTAATTTTCACATTATATAGAAATTACCTTTCAGCAGTTCGCATGTATAAATAAATGATTCCATTTTCTTCTCTGATTGTTGCATACTTGCTATTCGCAAGGGGACAAGACGCTCTACTACATAAACCTGTTAGGTTATATTCATTTCGGCAAAAATGCTGTGTTTTAGTTCTGTAGAAGAATAATAAGTATGTTTTTATTAGTGTTAATAGATTATGTAATTGTAACATTAGATAAAAACAGAATACTCACGTTACTTTGTGTGAACAATGTCTCTTGTTGATAATAGCCCAAACAACCTAAAATAATATAATAAAAAAACATGAATAAACATTTCACCACACAAATTAACAAGATAGCTTGACGGAAATATACTTACATCATCGTGCTGCATATTTATTTTAATTACGATAAAATAAATTAAATACACCAAAACTTATCACACATGTGTTTTTTTTTTTTTTAATAGTTTAATGGCCTTGGATGAAATCCATACAGCCAATTCTTCATTATTATGAGTTCATTTCAAGGGTATCTTTTTTCTTTTACAAGTGCATAAACGTAGCGGAAATGAAGTCATATAAAATTTTACATGTTTCAAAATTCTTGAGAATAGATGGCAAGAGGCGGGGAATGTCATCATCTTTAAATATCTTGAGTAGGCCATCTACTAAAATAATTCTTGATATGTTGAAGGCGGGACAATGTAAAATAAGGTGATCTAGTGTAGCTTCATCATTTTCGCAATATTCACAAGTTCCTGAAGATTTTAAGTTTAATCTGTGTAAATGTGCACCGAATCTTCCGTGACCTAATCTGAGCCTGTTAATAGTAGTTATGAATCTTCTATTTGAAGATTGAAGACTGAAGTACCAGGGCTTTACTGGAATCTTTTCTTGGATACTTGCGTACCACTTTCCCTTGAATTGTTTGGTAAATTCCCAATCTTCATGCCAATGTTTGTACATGCGATGCTTCAGAATTGAATGGTAATCCGTCATTGGAACAGGTGGAATTGCATATTGTGGATTAATGTAGGCAGGAGTTGGAATTTTCATTAATCTGTCAACAGTTTCGTTCCCTGTTATCCCGTTATGGGATGGCACCCATAAGAATTCAATTTGTTTTTCAGGATTATCGTAAATGTACTGTCTTATTTTATTAATAAATATATTATTCTTATAGGATATATGAATATTTTCTAGGCAACTTAAAACACTTAATGAGTCAGTCACTATTAAAATATTGATGTCAGCTAAAGCAATGGCATACTGTAAAGCTGCACATATAGCATATGCTTCCGCAGTAAAGATCGAAGAATTTTCGTTTAAAGTGAAACAACGCCCAAATTTTGACAAAGAGTCGTAATATGCTGCTTTTGTACTGTTTTCCGTTTTAGATCCATCTGTATATATACGTCGGTATTCTTTTTTCTTAGTATTAACAAAATATAAAAAGTCATTATTATTTGATATTCTCTCAGAAAGAATGGAAGCTGTAGTAAGTTGTACTTCTAATGAGCCTAAATCCCATTTGCCTTTATGGTCTATACATTCACAAATATTATTTAATTCAAAAATATAATCATTTTGCAATAGTCTATTGTGTTTTTATATAAATTTGAGTATTCTTTAGACGCTAAAACTTTAACATAAAACTTTTCAGTAAGGTAACGTAGTCTAACAAGAATGGGCGGTATACCAGCCTCTATTTCAAGTGAATTTATAGGAGTTGAGCACATTGCTCCAGTAATAATTCTTAATCCCTTATTTTGGGTTACTTCTATTTTCTTAAATAAAGGTTGGCTTAAAAATTTCCCGTAAATTATTAAACCATAATCGTAATGGCTTCTAACAATGGATTTAAAAATCATGTTCAGTAATTTGGGGTCCATGCCCCAATCAACACTCGCGAGACATCTCATTATATTTATGCTTTTTTGCATTTTTTGTACAGTATTTACAACATGAGACTTAAAATGCATTTTAGAATCAAATATTACACCTAAAAATCTTTTTTCATTTACTAATTTGATATTTACAGAGTCATATACAATATTTATATTAACATCGTTATAATCTATCTTATTACTAAAAATCAAAGAAGAACTTTTATGTGGGTTAATATCTAAGTGGAGCATATCTTAATAAAAAGAACAAAGCGAATCTAGTCCTTCGTTTAATGAATTTACACCTTGTGTTAAATTTTTATTTTTTGTATAAATTACAATATCATCTGCATATTGAAGAACTGATAATTTTTTTTCATTTCTCATTCTCGGAAAGTGGTGTTGTTTTGATCTGTTTGTTGGGTGGAAAATGCTGCTTCCCTCCCTAGAGATGGAAAAACTCATACAAATTACTTCCCGCCTAAGGGCCGGAATGAACTTTAAAAATAGAACTACTGTCAGGTGTGAAGAGTTTTATGTAAAAAAAAAATATGATGCCATGTGAGTTTCTAGACATCCAGTGTGGAATAAGCCGCAACAATAGGCTAGTTGACCCTTTTTGGAAAAAGGTTTTAAATGGTTAATAAATGTTCTATTAGACCGAAAAAAAATGTATTGTATTTTTTTTAAACCTAGAAAGCTACAAATCTTTAATTTTAAAATAGACTTTTCATGGACATACAAAAACGCTGTCGGCCATTTTAGTCTATAGATTGTCTATGCTATGACCATGGACGTATAAAAAAAGGCGGACAGAGTTTCGGCTAAGACAATACTGAGGCACCGTAATGGCGGCGGCTATTGATGAGTGAGTGAATTGTAGGGTTGCTAGGTTAGCCAATTTTTTACCAATAAAACACAGTAAAAACATGAAAATATTTTGATTGTTCAAAATTTTACTTTTTGCCCGACTGCGGAGGATAATGTTTTTCGAGCGTATATATGTATGTATGTCCAATAATTTGGCACGCCCTACAGCCTGAACGTCTTGACGGATTTTGACATGCGAGGTGTCATTAAATTTGATTTGTCGTGATTGTGTGAGTGGCACTCGGTATATTAAAATTTCAAAAAATCAATATCAATAACAGATTTTGATGCGCCAAAATGAAACATTTTGAAAAAAAAGTATAAGTATTTTTATAACCCGTCAAGCAAGGTATCAAAGTGAAGGGTTTTAAAAGAATATTTAGAAAATATACAACTCGTGTAATTAAAAAATAATGAAATTAAAATGTCAAAAATAAAAAAAAATGTACTAAAAAGAAAAAAACAAGTCCAGTAGTCTAGAATTCTGTTTAATAAGGAACAAAGTTACTTTAACAGTCGGGACTCATTAGAAATTCTAGAATGTATCGAATTTTCTCAATATTGGGTAAATCAACTAAACATAGATGGCCTGGCCTGCATTCTCTTTCATATTTCTTAAAATAAACTAACACCTATTGAGTACTGTTTGTAATTGAGGAGTTCCATTGTTTTCCTCCGAAAGTACTCATCAGATCTCCAGTAAATTAATATGCAGCCATCTCGCTAGTAAACTGATTAAAACAAAAAAAAAAATGGTTGCCTGTAAAGTCGGTTTTACGGGCGAAGATTTTACGTGACAACGTCTTTTTCTCGGTAGAATATTTATTGATATGAATATAATTAAATTGCACAATAGGAACAAGGAATTGAATGAAAAAAAAGAATTGCACAAATTTTAACTATAGAAATATATTTTGTTTACTAAAACATTGTACATGTAAACTTAAACTTAACACGAGAGACTCATCGTAACGTTACCGAGCGTTACACTTTTTCATAAGTGACTCCCAGCCGCAACCTAATTTAAGACGTTGTCACGTCAAAAGAATCATCATAAACGGTCCACGAATCTCGGAGATCTGCGCGAACAACAATAAAAAAAAACAAATATGACGCATTGCGAAGCTCTTTCTTTTCGAATTTTAATCAACCTTTTGAGGTAATGCATACGTAATAACACGCCGGAGTCCTCCTTTAGTTGTATATAAGTCTTGAGCTTCAAAATGAAGACTAAAAATGACACTACTACATATTTGTTTGGAAATCATTAATTTTCCAGTAATTTCTCCATACTACATTTTCTTTAGGAAATCTGATAAAAAAATGGTTGCCTGTAAAGTCGGTTTTACGGGCGAAGATTTTACGTGACAACGTCTTTTTCTCGGTAGAATATTTATTGATATGAATATAATTAAATTGCACAATAGGAACAAGGAATTGAATGAAAATAAGAATTGCACAAATTTTAACTATAGAAATATATTTTGTTTACTAAAACATTGTACATGTAAACTTAAACTTAACACGAGAGACTCATCGTAACGTTACCGAGCGTTACACTTTTTCATAAGTGACTCCCAGCCGCAACCTAATTTAAGACGTTGTCACGTCAAAAGAATAATACATAATAGATTGAAGTTAATGTCAACCCAATTTCCCATATTTTAGGTAATATGGTTACATGAACATTGGCAACACTGGGCTTTAGACTAATCATTTTGTCCTTAGAATTAAAATTGATTTCGATTTCTAAAAACTAGAAAAAAGTGATTCAATTATTCATTTACCTATGAAACGTGATTCCTGGATTTTTTTTCTTTCGGTCACTACGGTTTTTACACTTTTTAACAAGCAAGATATCTTGTTTAGCTTATTTTTTATCTCCACGTAACGTGTCGGCTGCTTTGACGTTTGCACGCGTAGTGGCTGACTATTGTGTGAATGTGTGGGTGCCGGCTTGTACGTACAGCGACCTGGCCGACTCTGAGCGACACAGTTTATTGTTTACCGGGACTCTGTCCGCCTTTTTTATAAGTCCATGGCTATGACGTGAACTGTGGTAAACAAAAACTCGTAAACACGTAGAAAATTACTTTTAACTGAGTTTATAATACAAAAAAACATGATTTCTAATAAATACCACGAAAAATAAAGTAATTATCATTACTGTATTGTACGAGAATATAAAAACACATCCTTGAAGACTCCAGGAAAGTTGTGGATTAAAGTGCGGAAAGAAATTAACCTACGCAACTTTATTACACTTATTCATATGTTGTATCAGTTTTATGTTTATTACTACATTGTAATACTAAATGCACTGTACTTACATAGATGCCTTGTCGTTTCTCTGCTCCGCAGAGCAGAAATCGGGGTTTAGTGCAACAAATTCACCAACCATCAATGCGTCAATTCTTGGCAGATTTGTACTTTCTGCTTTCACAAAGCCGGCATCCATAATTTGTTTAGTCAAAAAAAACTAAGTTTACTGTTTTTTTCTTTCCTAAAGTTAAAAGTGTTTTAAGATAAATTTAGTCAGACGAAAGAATCCACCTACAGTAACACGCGAATGACATTTAATTGTTTACCACAAGAGACGTCAAAATCATGGCGAATGTGGCGAACAGCGTTTTTAGTGTTTGATAAATATAGACTAAAAAATATTTTTTAAAATTAAATTTCTACAGCAATCTTCTGCTTTTATGAAGTGAAATCGATATATTAAGGTTTCTTAGACTAAACACTTTAAGAAATAAACATTTATTTAATACAATTCGACATGAGTAAACTAGCCTATTACGCTGTTTCATATTTAAATTTAAAAAGTCGACATAAATTAGCGGGATACTAAACTGTTATGTATCTGTGACGGAATAAAAAAAAACTTATAAGTAAAACAGAGCAATCTAAATTTGAATATTAAAAATGAGTTTAAGCGATTCAGAAATGTTGACACCGTATTCAATTAAAGACGAGGCAAATTGTGTTATAGAGAATCTTTTGCCAGAAATGTCAAAAGAGGATATATGAATACATACAATGATCTTATAAAGTGGCGAGGAGAGAAGAATATAAAATCGTTTTCCGAAAGTGTATTTCTTCTTCACTTCTTCTTCAAACTTCCAGGGAGTATCCGCCATGGAATCCATCGTTTGATGAAATAACAGAGTCTCCTACTTTTACAGATATCCAAAACAGCCAAATTTCTAATAGTATATCAAACAGCATAAACATTCCAAATAAGAATGTAATTTTAATTTCACTAATGTCCTAATATGACAATTAATTTTAAATAGCTACTTCTAATTTTATTGTACCTATATTTGAATAAATATTTTTGATAAACAACTAGTTTTATTTTCCTCATATTCGAAATGAAAAGTACAGTGTTTAACTCGGGTAAAAGAATCAATTCCTACTCGGACTATAGCCGCCCTCGCTGCGCTCGGGCGTCTTAATACCTCGGGAATTGATTCTTTCCACCCTCGGTTAACAATCTACTATTAAATGCACATATTTATGTAACAATGACGTATATAATAAATACATTAAAGGTGAGAAAGTGGCACCTTGCATTACTCCTTTATGTGCCAATTTTGGACCGTGTAGAATATTATTATATTTGACATAGACAGAACGTGAATTGAAATAATTATAGATCCATTGACATATTTTCCCTGGTATATTAAAAGAATGAAGAATGTGGACTAGCGTAGATAAATTTACATTATCGAAAGCACCGGTAACGTCAAGGAAAGTGCAAATTAAGTAACTGTTATCAAAAAAGGTATTTTGTATATCTCCGCAAAATTTAACCAAACTGTCTGTAGTACTACGTCCTTTACGGAACCCAAATTGATCTGAAGGAATGATAGACCTCAATTCTACATAGAGCTCTAATCTAGTTTTTAACATATTTTCAAATAATTTACATAGACAGGAAGAAAGTGATATGGGTCTGTAGGATTCGGCTAATAATGGGTCCTTATCGGGTTTTCAAATAGGGACAACTGCTATAGTTTTCCAAGTCTCCGGGATAATGTTTTGTTGCCATAGACTGTTATATATATGTAGCAAAACCATTTTAGCTGCAGAATGAAGCCGTTTTATTAAGATATATGGAATATTGTCTAGCCCCGGAGTGCTATCTTTTCTTTTATTTAATGAGAATATGAATTCATCAGCAGTAAACGG